TGGTACAGTGAAGAAAGGTCCCCGCGGGTCGGCGGACAGGCAAGATTCCTGCTGCCGAGTCCGGGAGGTTCACTTTTGGGGAGCAAGGTGAGCTCACTGAGCGGGAGAGAGAAGCAGGGGAACAGTACGCAGGCATGTGAGGGACATGGGAGACCGGTGGAGGCGGCAGGCATAGCAAGCTGAGGTGACCGCTGGGAGGCAGGACCGCGCCCACCAGCCGGCTCAGGAGGGCAAGGCTGGTAGTTCAGTGCAGACAGGGGCGGGAAGTAAAACCTCAAGTCAGGGCGAGAGTGATAGAATTGGCAGAGGTCGGCTGCAGCTGCCGTTGGACGCTCTTTCGCTGTGTTGTCCCTAGCCAGCTCCCGTGAGGTCCTCGTGTGCGGCATGAGCATGCACACGAGTGGCGAGGACAGAACAGGCTACAAGTGGAAAGGAGCAACGGGTGAGGGCTGTGGCTAGGAGATGGGGTTTCTTTTTTTAATGAATAGGCGTATATTACTCCTTGCAAAATTTTCGAAGTATGAAATCTGGTTGGGAACAGGACTCACGTGTCTTCCCCTTACACCCTAGAGAGGACGCGACGCCCCAGCCCTGCACCTCTCCCCGTCGGCACTCACAGCACAGCCAGCTGAGTAGCTCTCAGATCCCGGTGCCTGAAGCTCGTTCCTTTCTCCCTCTCTCTCCTCTAAGCTATGTTTCTAGCAAGCTGACCAAGCAGCACCCATCAGAGGAGCTCGGCGATCAGTGACCGAATGTCTTTTCTGCTTTGTGAGGACCAGCTTTTAACAATCTGGGAAAGATCAACTACAAAGAGGCCTCGTGAAGGTGGAGTAGCCACTCTCATAGTACAAGTACAGAGTCAGGGAACTTGAGCTCGGAGAAAACATACGTACAGCATCGTAGTTTGCGTAAGGTCTAACCTCTTCCCAAGTCACACCTTTAGTTTTAAATGATTTTCATCCCTCTTGGTGTTTGCTCAAATTGGAAATGAGGCTTTGCCTTCGCAGAGAGTCAGAACACCTGGCGAACCTCAGCAGCTCTCGTCAAGTTGCTTGCACGTGCAGTCCGGCAGCTCAGCACGACGAGGCGCAGCTGCGAAGGCGTAGTCCGCGAGGCTTGTCAGCTGTCACCTAGAATAACGAACATACCTAATGATGGTATTGATCAGAGTGAGTGTTTACTGCTCACTGTGTGCCAGGCCCTTCTCTGTGTTCCATCGATGACCTCATCGCTTTCCCCTGAACTACCCTGTGAAGCAGGCAGGAGCTGCGGCTCCCTTTCAGGAGCAGTGCGTGAGGCTCCGCTGTTGAGGGCCCAGGTCTAGGATGCCAGCCTCCAGCAGCCACGTTTCTCAGAGGGCATCCTCTGTTTCTCTTCTGTGACCTTGGAAGTTGTGTCTGGGAAGATTTTTCTCTGAGTCCATTCTCATGTGCTGTGAACCAGCCTGACAGGGACATGGAGAGTGGTGCTACAGGAAGTTAGACTGATAATTTTTCTACTATTGATAACTTTTTCTGCTTTCTCTGATGCTGATACTACTGCTCTGAATGGCATTCACACATTTGATGTCAATAGACTGAATGACAAATTTTCTATCAACATTTCGGTTTCCCAGCTCCTGTGTGGGGAAGGGATCCTTCTGGGGGTGAGGACTACGTGTGTGTGCAGAGACAGAAGGACTGCAAAGCCTGCTCAGTTCTGAAGACATGAGCAGGGTGCTGGAAAGACCAGTGGACAGAGGCTGAGCCAGGAAGGCTTGGATTTGCAAAAGTGGAGCCTGGAGAAGGAAGGAAGGAAGGGACAGAAAGAACAAGAGGGACACACTCCCATGGCAGTTAGGCATGTTGAGGGCTGCTGTGTTGGCCACTGGAAGAATCACCACAATAACCACCATACATGAATGCTTGTGGCATCCTCTTACACTCAAGGGATTTGAGATGCATTGATTGTTTTTAAACTTTCCATCTATCTAGTTAGAAAAAAATATTGCCATTTTCCTTTCCCCCAACCATTCCTCTTATAGGTACAATTTCCCTTATTTGGAGTTGGGTGAGTCCTTATAAGATGACTTGAGTTCCTTTGAAAAAGAAGTGACATGCAGCTTTTATCACTTGCCTTACCTCAGTGTTCATTATTGTTTTGCTTTTTGAGACAGGGGTCTAACCATGTAATTCAGGAAGGCCTTCCATTCACTATGTAGTGCAGTCTGGTCTAGAATTTGAGGCAATCCTACTGCCTCAGCCTCCTGAGTGCCAGGGTTATAGGCGTGCGCCACCACACCCAGCTAGCCACATCAGTGTTTATGTTCTAAGGAAGAGGGAACAGACATACAGTATGTATGCTGTTTGGAAATCATTAGAAGAGGATGGATTTTATAACATCTTTGGATGAACTTATTTCTTTTCCTAGACATTTTCTGAAGTATTTTCTAATTTGTCTTTCTATGCTCTGACTCTATGACAATATTCAACTCTTTTGCCTGTGGAAAAGCATTTTATTGTTCTGCATTTTGTAGGACTTCTGATGCTTTTGTGACCATGTTGTCTTCTCCTTTTCTTCCAGAGAAGTGTTTTTCTTTGTTCCTCTTCCCTCTGCCTCCAGGGGAAGGAGCACAATGTGTTTTCATGGTGACTTGTGTCTTAGGTGCTCAGAGTAGAGCCCTATGAACTTGAGATTCTAAACTGGTGTATGAAAATCAAGTAGACACATTCCTAGTAATACCTAGGGTTAGCATGGGAGAAGGAAACTCCCAGTCCACTAGACATCTGGTATGAGTTCATGTT